CTCTGAAAGTGAAAAAATCGAATGCGAAAAAAGACCGAAATCAGTATTTAAAGACGAAAAAGGTCAGTGGCGAAACATTGACGGACTCACACCCGTCGACATGGTACCAAATTTCTTACCGTATAAGCCTGAAGAGGCTAGGAAAATTTTTCGAGCAGAAACTATATTTCAATCCGATTTAAATAGTTTGATGGCATCTATTTCAATACTACACAATTACGCTAATAGGATAAATAAACAGGAAAAAATTTTAAGTCTGAAAAATATAACATATGCCAATAATTCGAACATTCTTCTCCAGATCGGTGAAAAAACGGGAGAAATTGTAAATGCCGGAATAGAAACTGCAAAAAATATTTCATTAAATCCGCTAAATCTTTTTTCCTTTTTCGGGGAGTGGAAAAACTATTTACAGATTGTTACGATTGTGGCACCTATAATTGCAATAATTGGATTAATAATATACTTCTACCCATGGATACAGCCAATATTATCATTCAGACCCAAGTGGAAACGGGAACAAAAAATTAGAAAAGAAAGTTATCAAATAAATAATATAAACAGTGTTACACCCAGTGCACCACCAATCGAGATAGAAATGGAGGCCTTCATACATAATAGCGTTCCAAGAATTTATCAAGTATCCAACGTAGAATTACAACCGAGTTCAGAACCAAACCATCCATTTATTCAAATAATAGTAAATAATTTTAAGAGCAAAGCCCTAATCGATTCAGGCGCATCCATTAGCTACTGCAAATTGTCAGTCGCCGAAAAAATTGGAAAAATAAATTTCGATTTAATGCCAAACACAAAAGCAAAAGTAGCTAATGGAGGTGAATTTTTTATGATTGGTAAAATTAATGTTAATATAGAAATTGATCATATTAAAATTTCCACCCAAATTTATGTAGCTAAGGATGAATTTTGTCCTTTCGAAATATTGTTAGGATCCGATTTTATGAAACAATTACAAATTAATACAGGGTATCAATTAAATTTCGATTGGATGAATAAAAAAGTAAAATTTTTAAATTTTGAAGAAAATGAACTTAGAACATTGCCAATGGTGGCAGTACTCGAAATTATGCCTACAAAAAATACAGTTAAAAACAAAGAAAAAATTATTCTAGAACCCCACACAGATAACCTTGTGCCGTGTTTTATTGATGAATTAATAGAAGAAGATATTTTAGTAGGTAAAGGGAATTATATGGACGAAGATACAATATTAATAGGTAAAACTCTATGTAAACCGGATAACGTTTACGCGAGAATTTTTAATGGGGGTAATTCTTTAATTACTGTACACCAGGGACAAACAATAGGCTGCTATTACCCAATAGAAGGAAAAATTCAGCCGGGAATATACTCCACAGAATTAATAGAAAATAAAAATATAAATAAAGAAAACATAGATAAAGAAAGAAAATGGCAATATTTAAAAGACAAAATAAATTTAGAAAAATCATGTTTGTCGAGAAAAGCACAAACAGATTTAAAAAATATAATTTATAAAAATCTTTACGCTTTCGTAGGCGAAGACGGCAAAATTGGATTTTTTAATGGGCCTATTGAACATAAAATTGATCTTGTAGATGAAAAGCAATACGTTCAATTAAGGCCATACAGAGTTCCTCCAGGGTTACAAGAGGAGGTGCACAAACAAATACATGATATGCTAAAACAAAATATTATAAGGCCGTCTGAATCCATTTTTGCCTCTCCAATAGTGTTAGTAAAGAAAAAAGATGGGAAATATCGCTTTGCAATTGACTATAGAAAACTTAATCAGAATACCAAAAAACAAGTTTATTTCTTACCGATGATTTCAGATATATTAGATAAAATAGGAGGCAAAGCAATTTTTACCACTTTTGACTTTCAAGCAGGGTTCCACCAAATAGGAATTGAACCGAAACATATTGAGAAAACAGCTTTTGCAACTTTTTGTGGAGTTTATGAATTTTTGAGAATGCCCTTTGGTCTTTGCGGAGCACCGTGCACTTTCATGAAGGTTATGGAGCATCTACGAAAAGACCTTTCGGCATCATTTTTAGTTTATTTGGACGATGTAATATTAGGATCAATAGATGAACAGGAACATTTAAGAGACATTGAAAATTTTTTAAAAATATTAATAAAATATAATCTAAAATTGAAATTAGAAAAATGTTCCTTTGGGAGGTCAGAAATAAAATATCTAGGATTTTTGATAAGCGAAGAAGGAATTCGGCCAGACCCAAAAAATATAGAAGCGGTACAAAAATTTAAACCACCAAAAACGCTTACCGAGTTAAGAAGTTTCATAGGCGCAGTCTCGTATTTTAGAAGATTTATTAAAAATTTTGCACAAATTATGGCCCCACTACATGAATTGACCAAATTAGGTGAAACAGTTGAGAAAAGTTGGACCGAGATACATCAAAAAGCTTTTGAAATAATCAAAGACAAATTGTTGACAGCTCCAGTTTTGGCTTCACCCAATTTTACAAAACCATTTATAATTGAAACGGATGCGTCAAAAACAGCGATAGCAGGCTGTTTACTTCAAAAACACGAGGATGGAGAACATCCCATCTCCTTTGTTTCGAGAAAAACTACCCCCAACGAACAAAAACATATTGCTGCCGAGCTAGAGGCATTAGCAATAGTTTATTGCCTAGAGCAATTTAGACCTTATATTGAGGGAATTGGAACGACAATAGTACGGACCGACAATTCTGTAGCGTGCTCGCTTATGAAAAGTAGGAAATTAGTAGGGAGAATGGCGAAATATCAATTGGCGGTACAAGCTTATAATATTAAAATTGAACATAGAAGCGGAAAATCAAACAAATTCTGCGACCATTTATCCAGATACCCTAATATCGAAACAAATGAAGAGGAAATTTTTGCAATTGAAAGAGAAATACCAGATTGGCGAAATTTTTTAGAAACATTTAAAGAAAAAACCCAGGATCAACAAAAAGACTTTGAATTAACAAAAGAAATTTTAACTCAACCTGAAAAGTGGGAGAAAGTGTCAATGGATGAAATAAGAGAAGAGCAAGGGAAAGATAGAAATTATATGAAAATAGTAGAAGTGTTAAAAGAAAAGGATAATATAAATAGTGAAGAAGAAAATTCAGAAGAAAATCGAGAGGCTCTTGAAAATTTTTCTGTGATTGACGGAATTTTATATCGGTGGATGGAAAGCGAAGAAGATTCATACCCAGTTATTGCTATACCACAAACACTACGCGAAAGAATAATGCGAGAATGCCATGAAAATGAACTTTTAGGCGCGCACTTAGGAATTGCCAAGACATTAGAAAAAATTAAAAAACGTTTCTTTTGGAAAAGATTGTCATCGGATGTCCATAATTATGTGAGTGCGTGTATTAAATGCCAGGAGAGAAAAATAATGCCAAGTAATATACGTAAAGAACCGATATTCCCAATTACAGTACCAAAATCCCCATTTGAACGTATTCACATAGATATTATGGGACCGTTACCTTTAACAATAGAGGGATATAAATATATTTTTACGGTCGTCGATGCTTTTTCTAAATGGCTAGTAGCAGTGCCAATGGAAAATCAAACAGCTATAACAGTGGCACAAGCATTTTCTAATAATTTTATAACGAAATTTGGTTGTCCAAGGTCAGTCGTGTCGGACAATGGGAGACAATTCATAAGTAATATCTTTCAAGACTTAGCCAAATTATACGGATTCAAGCATAGAAAGACAACTACTTATCACCCTCAGTCCAACGGAATGGCAGAGAGGTTAAATAGAGTGATAGCCGACATGTTGTTCAATTATGTAAATATAAAAGGGGATAATTGGGGTCATTTTTTACAAAGCGTAGTATTTGCGTATAACACAAGTGTTCAGGCAAGCACAAAACAATCCCCGTATTTTATTTTGTTTTTTAGGGACCCAATAATGCCCATAGATTTAAGACTTAGTAATTGGGAAGGTAATACGCGAGAAGAAGATATGTCAGATTACCTAGAAGAAAACGTAAAAGGATTAAAACAAATCTGGGATTCGGTAAAACTATCTATTGAAAAAGCACAGAAAACACAAAAAGATAACGCAGATAGGGATAGGAAAGAACATAATTTTAAAATTCATGATTTGGTATTAGTGAAAATTGAACATTTACCTGGTGATCAAGCGCATAAATTTAGACCAAAATGGAGCGGCCCTTATAGAATTATAGAAATTAATACCCCTGTTTTAACAATTAGGGAAATAAATACAGATAAAATAACAAAAATACACATGGATAAAGCAAAGAGGCTTATACAAAATTATTTAACACCACTTAGAGATATATAAAATAAAAATAAAGGGAAAAATAATAAATAAAAACATAATCAAAATAATCAATTTAAAATTAAAGGAAAAATAAATTAAAATTTTTTAATAAATAATTTTTAGAAAAACACAACAACATACGTAAGTTTATATTAATGGAAGTTAAAATAAATAGAAAAAGAAAATTTGGGGAAGAAAAATTAATTGAAAATATAGAAATTGTCCGACCAATACTCATTGACTATTATTTTACAAAATGCATTATTTCAAATATTTTCGAATGTAATTACATAACTCCCCTCCACGTGGAAAATGCAAATTTAGTTTATGAAATTTTCGAGCCAACTAATATGTGGGAGGGGAACCAAACTCTAGAAATAGTGGGCAGGGCGGAGGCCGATATTTTTGATGGGGATAATGTGGCTAAAATAACATTTAGAATTGTAAGTGGAAAAATGAAAACGGGACAATGTTTTTCAGAAATTATTTTAGGAAGAGAAGCCATTCTAATGTGGGAAAATAAAGGGTTCCGACCATTAGAACAAGCATTCAAATGTATCAAATGCGGCCAGCCCGAAATCGGCCCCCAATAAAAAAATATATTAAATAAAAATAAAATAATTTAAAATGTCTTTTAGTAATAATTATAAAGGAAAATTCTATTTTTTTATTTTTTTGACAGGTTTTTTTATTTTTTTGACTGATGCTTTTTTGATGATGATGATTTTCCAAGTTTTTCTTCAGAAGCTGAAGAGGAAGAACTTGAAGAGGACGAATCGGAGGATGATGAACTGCTTGAAGAAGATGAAGATCTGTGAAAATTAAAAGATATAGAATAATTATTCATAGAAGCAGTGAAGACATCAAAGCATACTAGGGGGTTGCTTTGTACCAGGCAACACCAAGGTAAAGGGTAAAGTAGCCACGTAAAGGACAAATCAAATAGGTAATTTAGAGAGGAGATGAGAGAACCCCAAAAAAAAATATTTATGGGAACACAATAGGCCCTTAACCAAAATTTCCTAGTTACCACCCACCTATGATTTGATGCCCCTAATAAAAAGAAACTAAAAAAATTAGAATTTAAACCTCGTTTTCCTTCCACCATCAGATGATTTTTTATTAATTTTTGCACTACTATTGGAAACTTTCTTTCGACTGGAATTAGAATCCTTTCGTTGTGAAAGACGATAAGCAGCTGGCGCCTGATCATTTTCTATTACCTCCTCTTTCATTTTACTTTTCGTTAAAGTTTGTGAATGTCTTCTGGCATTACTTTAAAAAATTTTAGAATAATTAAAAAATAAGTAATTTTTTGGATATGCCGACCCACTTAAAGTATTAGAGCTTCACTTAAAATGTACTAGACGTTGGCAATGAATCTTCCTGTCCCTCGGGATTCCTGTCCCGTTGCGGTTTAAAGACAGGGATTATTTGGAAAAAAATCCCGCATGCGGGATTCGGAAACACGATTTTGCCGACATCTAATATGTACATAAAGAACAGAATTTTTCCTTCCTTTTCTTTATTAAATCTCCCATTTGAATATGGCAAAGGGAAGTAGAATGGAAAAGAAAAAAAGAAGACCGTCGACCATTTTGTAAAAAAAACTCTGATATACTCAAACATAGGGGCGGCATATCCAAAAAGTCCCAAAGAATAATAAAAAATTAAACCGTTCATTTGACCCAAAAGAATGACCACTTTCAACAGAAATTTTTCTATTTCCATAATCATCATATCCCGATGAAGAATTTTTACTTTCAGGTCTTTCATTCATTGGAGGTGTTCTCGGCCCTTTAAATCGATTTTTTGGAGAATAAGTAGTCGAAGTTTTGTGTGTGAGTAAAGCGCCAAGTGTTGCATGCGATTCACGAGAAAGAGAAGCAAATGTATCAGAAGATTCGTTTGAAGAGGATCTGAAAAATTAGAAAAAAATTTCTAGTCATATTTGACAATAAGCTCTGCATGGGCCAAACTAGAATACAAAGGGGGTTTTAGAAAGAAAAATCCAATCAAAGTTCCTTTTAAGAGCTTAAACGTAGACCGAACCCTTAGGGTAACCCATGAGCTTCGACGATCACAATCGAAATTTAATTTAGATCCGTCTTCATCGCTGTAATACCAATTTGTCATTTCGGCAGCTTTTGGGGGTTTATATTTTGGCATTACGTCGCACCAGGTAATTTCAGAATTGCCCATTTTATAGAACAAGGAAAACATTAAAAGAACAGCTCATGAATAAACTCTAGAGCGTGGAACACCCCAAAGGCTTGGGCTACACTGAAGCTCTTCCAAGCAACTTCGATTAGATTTTCCTCTTTTAAAAAATTTCTCTAAAATATTTTATTTGGGCTCAAAATTCTTCAAGTAAAACCTGCTGTTCCTTTTCGTTGTATTAATAACAGATGATTGAATTTCTCTCTTGTCATAATCCTTAAATGATGCGGAAGACACAGAAGAACCAACAGAAGCATCTCTCCGACTACTGCTATGAGCTTTCTTTGATTTTTTCACATCAGGCGAAGTTATATCATTAAAAGAATCACTATGTTGTTCAGAACTATGTCGCTTCAATTTATTTTCTCTTTCACGTTCAGCTTCTTTATGATGTCTATCTTCATCAGATCTTCGGCTAGAACGTTTGTGGGAAACATGGCGTTGGGAGGAATGGTCCTTTAAATTTAAAAAAATTTTCTGATTAAATTTAAAAAAAACCGAAGATGAATTTGAAGAAGAGCTACGGCGACGTCTTCTACTTGGACGTTCAGCAACATTAACAACCATTTCAGTACGGCTTTTCATTATTTTCCCGTCACTTCTTTTAACGACTGAATTTGATGAAGATCTGGCCCATGGATCGGAATAACTGCTATTTGAACCAGTAATTAATACTTGACGTTGTTGGCCTGGAAAAGAAAAAAGGGTAATGTAAGATAAAAGTGATCGTGTTTGCGGACGTCTTTTGAGGATTCCAACAGGAACCACCGCAAACTATGCCCAAAAACTTAAACATAAAAAGTATACCAACGTATACAGCATGGTCAAAAACCTAGTACCTATTTTTTCTTTTTGGCCCTGACCCCATTTCGAAAAGTTATTGGGGTTCAAAGTTTTCGACTTTTGTAGCGGTCGAGACAGTATCCGCAAAAAGAATCACAAAAACGTTTCACGGCCCCCCAAAAAGGAAATAATAAAAGCATGGAACCAAGAACAAAATAAAAATTCCAAAAATTATCTCGTTCACCTTTTTGCAATTTGCTTAAAGATATCGATCCTGTCGTTGAATGTTCAATCATTGAGTCCATTAGTGAAGGAATATTAGACTAGATTTAGAAAAATCAGTAAAAAATCATTCAAACTTATAAAAAAACCTTTGCTTGAGACCTTGTTGACGTTATAGAAGGCAAATCTTTTGCACGAGAAACAACAGAAACAGCTTCAACAACAACACGTGCAGGAATTGTACGACGATTTTGAATGAAATTCATTGGCTTGTTTCTTAAATAAAAAAAATTTATAGGAAAACAGCCCCATGAAGTTAAAAAACTTACAAATCTGACGAAGTAACATAATAAGAATCGTCAGTTTGACTTGGGTTTGGCGACAAACATGCTAAAGGAGGACTCAAACTGCTTTGATCATCATTGTCATCAATTGTTTGGTTCGATTCCATTGGAAGAATTTCTCCACCTTTTTGACGACGAGCCAATTCACGAGCTTTTTTAAGTCCTTCCATCCATGCAACACTTTCGGTACTGGAAGGAGGCGGTGGGGCAGCAGGTGGGGGCGGCGGTGGTTGACGTGTGAGCAAAGAAGCACTTGGCGGTGGAGAAAAAACGGTTGAGAGTAAAGAAATCTTAGAATGAGAAAAAATGTTAAAGTTCAACTGAAAAAGGTGTAAGCAAAGGCCTGGGGGCTCACTTTAAATCTAGGTTCGAAGTGGGTCAAGGCATGGGAGCTCCCTTGAAGCCAGGCTCGAACTTGGTCTTGGAGACCTGGGTTTCCTTGAATCCAAGCTCGAAGTGGGCAAGCCCTGGGGGCTTTCCTAGAAGCTAGGCCCAAACTAGGTCTTAGAGACCAGGGGCTTCCTTGAAGCAAGGCCTGGGAAGTTTTCCTTGAAGCTAGGCTTAAAGTGGGTCAGGGTTAAGACTGGGGATGAGTTCATTTATTTAAACAGTCATTTTCCTAAGTTTTCCCTCGAACCCACGCCCGACCCTTATTAAAAATTCCATTCTTTAAAACTTACAGGAGGGCCAATTGGCGGAGGAATGCTTGTTAAATTTGACAATTTGTTGTTGTAATAAATTGGTACTTTTCCACCACCTGTAATTAAAGTTGAAGAAGAGGAGGTTGAAACGATTTGAATACGAGGTCGCTAAAAATAAAATTAGAAAAACTAACAATAAACTGTTTTGGTACTAAAGTCGAACCTCACTATAAGATGCATAATTGGGTCGTCTTATTTTTCGAATAAATCAAAAAGGGGTATTTATACACGTACACGTGGAAGGGGAGTGCCAAGGACTTTATATACTTGTTAGTAGCAAGCAAGTGCCTTACTGCCCCAGGATATGCAAGGAAAGCTAGACCCGATTCCCTCCCCCACAGACATGTTGAAGTGCTACCATGTCATTAACAAGGATTTTTTTCAGGTGGGGGACTTCCCACATGCAGCCAGGCAACGAACCTGAATCTCCCTCAAAATGGATTTGATACTCCACCCGATAATCCAAAAAATGCATCTTAAATATGATGTACGTATCTCCCAGTGATATCCGACTGAACACTTTAACTGACAAATTAAAAAATATTCCTAAAAAACCTGTACTACTGACTGTGTACAATGTTTAAAACGACATGCTTCGCCATTCTTGCAAATCCCCCGAAGATAGAAACGACAAACTTCCCTAGGTTTAAATGTTTGAATAGGTTCAACTATAGGCAAAGGCAATTCTATCGGTTGAGCTGCATTTAGACTTGAAACTAAGGAAGGTAGACAAATACTGGACTGTGAAGAGCTGACCATAAGTGGAGGCGAAGAACTTTTCTGAAAAATTTTTAAAAATAAAAACAATTTATTTCTGGTTCTAGTGATTAATTTCGGATTTTATATTATTCTCAGGGTTCAAGGTCAACAGCAACTGGGTTTTGGACCATCTGTTGACTTAGAAAACCTTTAAGGTATGTTCTAATGTAAGTTAAAACAGACTAAAAAAAGCCAGTTTCCTTGGGAAGACAGAAAGAATAATACTAAAAGACGTACGAACTCCCAGGTGACCAGTAAAACTTAAGAATAAATGAAATTGAAAAAAGACCGAACTAACGAGATTGTTGCCCAGAGTAAATAAATAGTCGTAAAAGTAGATATTCCCAATTAACTTAAAATTAAACCTCTTCAATTTCCTCTTCATCGTCCTCATCCTCAAGTTCGCCTTCTTCTAATTCTTCAACTTCCTTTTTATTTTTAATTTCCTTTTGCTTTTCAATGCCATCATCATCCTCGGGCAAATCCCCAGCTTCATTTTCTTCAAAATCGTTATTTACAGCCATCCTCTTTTCACATTTTTGATCTGCTAAAAGGTAAATTTAAGTTAAGGTGACTTGACCTTTAAGTTTATTTTTCCTTTTGTTACCTATTTTAAAGGGAGTATCCAAAGAGTCGGTTTCGTGGGAGTCGATTTCTGCACAACGCCCTCCTCAAATTTTTCCGTTCCCCATTTCGATGAGTGGCTTTAGCAGAAGCCCCCTGGCTACGCCCTTGGTATCCAGGGGTCGATTTCAAGGGGAAAGGGGGCCTGAAGAAAATTTTGTTGAAAACTGGATCCAAAACCACAACCGCCTTTTCATCAGCCCAGGACATCCCTGACCCGTACAACCCCCAGATTTCCAGAATTTCCCTAGGAAATTTGAAAAAAAAAGAAAAAATCTTCAAAAAAATCTTTTAAACCTTTTTGGACATCATCAGCTTCCTCGCCCTCAGAATCGCTAACACCAATCATCTTAAAAAATTAAAGTAAAAGATCAAAAAGGAAGAAACCTCGTTTTCTTTCAACTCCTCGGAATGTTGTAAATGAACGCTCGAATTGTTGCTTTCAACCCTTTCCCTAGCCTCCCCTTCATAATCGTCATAATCATCGTAGTTGAGGTCATTGTTATCTAACTTAACCATGTCTTCTTCATCATCACTAACTGATTGAGAATTTGGTTGATGGCCGTCTTGAAGGCGTGAATGCTCGACTTGATCTAAAATATAAACGAGATTATAATAGTTTTGAATCTCGGTAAGTGTCATTTGACTTCGTTCTCATTTGTTCTGAAGTTTAATTTTGGACCTAGAGCAACTGGATCTAACCCCGGTTAGCGTCGAGGCATCCGCAACTACGTATAAATACCCTTTAGCTTAAAAACCCATTTTGAGGCGTCATATATGGATGGGTCAGATTAATCCAAACCAGATTTTCTTCTCGAACTGGCCCATCCCTGGTGTCCCACATCATTGCAAAACACAAAGGACCCAGGGAACATACGAAAAATTTAAAACAAACCTTCCATATTTTCATCACCGCTGGCATGACCATTATAATGAACATCCTCCAAACTTTCCCTTGGCTCCTCTCTTATATAACCTTCAAAATTTTCAGATCCATTACTTGAATTGTTGGTTGACATTGTTCTGACTTAATAAATTAAAAAATTCTTTTATCTAAAAAGTGATAAGTTTGAATTTCGGGCTCCTTTTTAAAGTACTCAAAAGGCTCATAATGGTCAAACTTTATTTTTCCAGGTTTTCGGAAGTTTTTATTACGCACATTTGCTGTGCACAGCCTCAGTTGCTGTAACGTGAATTTCAATACGTGAATCGCCGTCTAGCTCATAGATTCGATTTTTGTGCATTTTCCCGCCCATGAACCTAGATGAGCCTTTTAAGGAAAAAAGGTCCGAAATTCAAAATTACCAAAAAGAAACCTTTGTTATGTTCAAAAATAATATGAAACTCGTCTTAATTTACACAAAATTTGAGAATAAACACGCAACTAAATAAGCCTTCGAAAACAGCAAAATAAGTCTGCTCAGTAAATATGAAAGACAACAATAAAAATCTGCAGGTATTTGGGCAGGATTAGTAAAGAATAAAGAAATAAAGTATTTAAATTAAAATAAAATGGAAATTTTAGGCTCTGGACATTTTGGACATTTTTTTCTTATTTTTTAAAATTAATTTTTTTTCAAAATTCTAACAGGGCCCTTTATCTATCAGGCACTTTTTTAAAGATTTTTTCTTCTTTTTAGGCATTTTTGGCCTTTAATTAGTCGGTATTTAAATTTAAAAAGTTGATAGACCAGTTCAAACGCTTTTGCATTCACCAAAATTTTTTTAAAATAAAAATAGAAATAAATGAGCGTTAACTTTTTTTGAGGCAATGATGAGTGAGGATTTTTAGTTGGATTCATCGGCTGAATAAATTTTTTTGGGTAAATGTGTAAAAGAGAAAGACAAATTTTTACACAGCTTTTTTGTGTGTTCTCGCAATCATTCGATAAAAGTATTTTTGAGTCTTCGACATTAGAGGCAGATTGTCCAGTGACCAATTGTCCTATTTTTCGCCTTTCGTCGATTTGCCCTAATTTGACTTCCGTTTTTCGCCGTTCGCTTTTTCGGACGAAAGTCGAAATTTTTATACACCCCTAATGACGGTATGTGAGGTGTAGATATTCTGGGGTGGAGTCGATTTATTTGGGCTGGAAAATTTAGGGACCTCAACAATTTTGGTACCATTCTCTTTAGCTCGATGAGAGGAATCGTTCAATACTAGATTTTGAAAGATTTGGAAATTTTGAAGCAAGTTACGGCTTTGCGCCTACTTGGGCGCGCGCCTAATTGGGCTTTACACGATTTTTTTTATTTTTGGCGTTTCGTATTTTTTTTCGACGGCGGAGCAGTTCAGTTGAGTCCCGGCCCTATAACCCAAGTACGGGTTGATTTTTTTATTTTTTCAGATTTTTCAGGCTTTAGAATGCTTCGTTCTATTCGACCATTAAATTCAATTATTTGTCCAAAATTAAATTCAACTTGGACGTTGCAACGGATTGCTCAAAACGAAAGAAACTGTTTCCGTCAATTCTCTTTTACGAGCAAAGTTGAAGGTTTTTTTAATTTTAGATTATTTATGGCCTTGTAAGTACAAGATCCATAGGTTTTTTGCAGACGTTTTTTTGCGGATACCCCCTCCTCTGTTTCTTATTTACTCTTCGCCTGGTTTAGGTTTGGGGCCCCAATCCGGTCCGGTCCGAAGAATCTGTCGGGCTTCAAATCTTGGCCCGAAAAAGGTCTGGTCGGGTCGTCCCGATAAAAATGAGACCCGAAAAAAGGACTCGAACGAAGGCTTGACTCGAAAACTTTACCCTGCCTGATTATTTGTTTTAGACTTGAGTAAAACAGGCAACGTCCATGTCCCGGTCCTTTTTAATTGTTTTAATGCTAGTAGAGAATAGAGCAAACTAATAGGAATCGGTGAGAATGTCCGCAAAAAATCAATAAAAAATCCGCAAAAAAATGTCCGAAAATATTTGCAGAATGTCCGCAAAAAAGGTACGAATACCCCCTCCTCTGTTTCTTATTTACTCTTCCTCTGATTTAGGTTTGGGGCCCCAATCCGGTCCGGTCCGAAGAATCTGTCGGGCTTCAAATCTGTCGGGCTTCAAAACGTTTTCCCCCTTTTGCGGACATTCTGTAAATTTTTGCGGACAATTTTTTTATTTTTTTGCGGATTTCCATGAAAAATTTCAATGCAAGGCAAAAATTGTCCGCAAAAATTTGAAAATGTACGAAAAAAATTGTCCGCAAGATTTCCTCCCCTATCTCCAAAATTCTTCCATTTATTTATTAAATTCATTTTAGATCGTTATTACACAAAGAAGCATGAATGGATTGAGTTGGAAAAACATGTTAAAGGTGAAATTGGAACTGTTGGTATTACCGACTTTGCGCAGGTTTTATTTAAGTTTCTCTAAAAAAATAAAAAAATTTTAAGCAATCACTTGGTGATGTCGTCTATGTAGAACTGCCTGAAGTAGGTACTAAATTGGCTAAAGATGACACCGCTGGGGCGATTGAAAGTGTTAAGGTTTTTTTATAAAATTTTGGTGACAACTTTTTTGATCTTTTCCGGACAGTTTTCTGTCTAGTTTCTCCATTTTTTCTTCTTTAATAAAGCCAAAATTTTTTTTATTTTGAATCAGTTGACCAAGAGAGATCGAGCTGGACCTGGACATAGGCCTGGGTTTTTCCTGTACTCAGAGTCCAGGCCCAGGCATTTTTTTGACCTACCTGGGGTTTTCCTAGACTACAGGCTTACAATTAGGATCCGGCCCAGGTCAATAAATTAAAAGCAGAGTCCAGTAACAGGTCCAGGCTTTTCAAAATCTCGATCTATAGTCACCAAAGCAAAAGAAAAAAATTGGAAGAAAAAAGAGAAAATTGGAAGAAAAAATATGTCCGCAAAGTTTGTCCGCAAAAATTAATAAAATTTTGTCAAGAAAAATCTTGAATATTTTTACTATAGCTCATTCCTTTATTCATTAAATTTTTTAAATTTCAGGCTGCCTCTGATCTTTATTCACCTATGACTGGAGAAGTTGTCGAATTGAACGCAGAGGTTCAAGATAAGCCGCAGCTGGTCAATAAATCTTGTTTTGAGAAAGGTTTTTCTTTGATTTTTTATTATAAGACACCCACAATAATAGATTTACCTCGATTTAGGATACCTTTTTTATAATTTGGTTGACCACGGGGATCCTTCTCTTTAATAAACGCCTCATTATAAAGACTATACTTCAGATCCGAAGGTGGTATTATGGTAAAGAGGTTTACCCTCTATTTAATAAACATTCATAAGAGACACTTTGTAAACCCTAAGGGTGTCATATTGGACCGATCTCTTTCTAACATCTCCCTCCCTTATATCAATTTTTAGCCCAAATAGGGCTGAAAATTGAAAAAATTGCCTACTTTCAGCCCCCTTGCCTCCTGTCAGCCCAAGGGGGCTTTTTAGCCCTCCCATCTTTATTGAGATTCGACCTCTATTTAAGAAACACCTCGTTATAAGAGACTATTTTTCAGCCCATATGGGGGTACTTTATAATGAGATTCCACCTCTTTTATAACTTTTCAAATTTTTAGGTTGGCTTTACAAATTAAAAATCGTTGACCCAAGTGAACTTTCGCAATTGATGGACGAAAAGACTTATGAAGAATATGAGGCAAGTGAGTCAAATAGTTAGAAAAAAAGTGAATTTAAAATAGATTTTTGGAAATATAAATCCTAATTTATCGCTTAAATATTAAATAATTTATTCAAATAAAAAATTAAAAAAATTTTTATGGTTTAATTTTTAACCCCTTCCCCCTCCCCCATTCTAGCCTCCACAAAGCAGTATAAGATTTTTTCTTTGTTTCAAAGGCGTGTATGTGCCAGAGTTAGGTCCAAGGCTGTCCGTAAGTGAAAAAAATTTTCCGCACTGCAATCCGCAATTCTATTTAAAAAATCCGCAAGTCCAAAAACCACGCAATCCGCAATTGCGGACAGCCCTGGTGAGTTCATACAGCCTGGTGAGTTCATTCTAACTAAAGTCACCTACATTTATAACCCCAATACATATGCTGTCATTGTAAAATCAAAAATTTTTCAAAAAAGATTTTAAAAGCGAAATTTTGTTATTCCACATGACAAATGTTTTTTTACTATTTTTCCAACAATTAAGAAAAAAATAACTTTTTTTCAAAAACATTAATTATTTAATTAAAAAGGTGTGTTTTCTCTTTTAAAACAAACGAATTAAATTAGTTTATCTAGTAGGAGGTTTTAGTACAAATCAACAAAAAACAGTTGTCCTTTGAAGGGAAAAATTTTAAATTTTATCTGCAATAAATTAATTGGTCGGACTTCGCTAAAGCCTTGGGATGAACCGAGAATGATTTAAAAAACTATAGTTGAAACGTAAAAAGTGGCAAAACCCGACGAAATTCGAAACCAGTACACCCCTGATATACACACTAGGGATTGGCATGGATCTGGATCCAGACATTGATTTTTCCTGGATCCATAACGCAGATCAAAGCATTTTTCAGTGTTTCTTGATAGTTACTTGAAGTCCTCACTTAACATCAAGGTCAAGGATTTTTAAAATTTCCGATCCCTAAACACAAGTGTGGCTAAAATTTGCTGTTATCATTATATAATGAGGTGTTCCTAGCTAGGTGTAATGATGTGTTTCCTAGCTAGAGGCCATTAAAAGCCCTTGTTAGGTTATCTTTTAGTGAGGTCAGTCTATATTTCGGACATTTCCCTTAATAAACTGGACTAATATTTTTAACATAACATCCAATGTCCATAAAATCAAAATCTCCAAAAATTGATTCAACAAAACTAGAAAAAACAGCCGCTTATTTTTATATGTTTCCTGTCGCCATCTTAAAAAGAAGACAATTTTTTTACCTTTTATTTTGTCCAGCCATTTGTTCATTTTTCAATCATTTTTCCTATTACATATACCCCGGTCCACCGCCAACCCGCACTGCCGCAAGGCTTATAACTAGACGTGTGATAGTCGGATCTAGTCAATTTTGGTACCGATCGACGCAGCACGTCGAGTTGCGTCGATTGGTACCAAAATCGTCTTTTTAGGGCATTTCTACGCTGAGCTATGGCTCCGCGCCGTATTAGGCTCGCGCCGGACAGACCCCCATCTTCACACTAAACATTAAAGCTGTTTATGTCTCTCACTGTCAAATCACTTTTACTTGTTCCAAAACTATCAAAACATAAAAAATCATTGTATAATTTTTGACATTTTGACATTTTACGAGAACAAACATTCTTCCAAAAATTTTTTTAATTTTTCCATCAGTCGCCTTGCTAGGAAGGGCATTCTTTCTGCTAGGAAAATTCTTTTAAGAAAACAAATTCCAATCTTGGACTAAAGATTACATATATAAATATTTGTGAATGTATTTTTACACATTGCAATTTTCCTTTAAATCTACATAAAAATATTTTTAAAAATATTTTTATTCTTTTAATTGTAACAAAAATAATTTACTATGTATTTCCTCTTATTCACAGCTGGAGAAAAAATAATTGAAAAAATTGCGGACAGAAAAATCCGCAATTAGAATCCGCAAATTCCAGTTCGTGATTAAAATGCGCAAATGTCAATCCATAATTAAAATCCGCAATCTGCAAGTTCTAAAAACTTGCGGAACCCTAAAAGCTCACAATACAAAAAATCCGCAAAAAAGTTGCGGACAAAGAGGTCCGCAATTAAAATCCGTAAACACTCCACAAATGTCAATCCGTAATTAAAATACGCAAATTTTAGTCCGCAAATTTCAACCGTAATTAAAAGCCGCAATCTGTAAGGTCAAAAAAACTTCTGGAACCCTAAAACCCTTCAATACAAAAAAATCCGCAAAAACTTTGCGGATAAACTTACAAATCCTACAAATTTGGCAACTTTATTGTCTCAATTATCCCATTTTTTTGTTTTTCTCACAATTTTATTTTTTATCGCATGATCAAATTTAAAATGTGCATAATTTGTATGCCATCATCTGTTCATTAATTCCTTCACTTTTTTCTGCTTTATGTCCCTATTCAATAGTGCCAAGGAAGAGCTTCTTTTTCTGGAGGGCCAGCGGCTTATTATTTTTATTATTATTATTCTTTCTTTTTATTATTATTTATTGTCTCCTCTTTAACCATTTATTACTTAAAGGACTTTCTTTCTTTTACGGCTGGCAGCAATTTGTGAAGGAGGAGAGGGGTACGCGCCAATCTGCCGCAGCACAGTCTACTTAAAACCTTATAACTTAACCTAGGGGAGTCGGATCGCGACAATTTTGGTACCAATCGACGCAGCTCGTCGAGCCGCGTCGATTGGTACCAAAATTAGCTTGCTAGGACATTTTTACGCCGAGTTATGGCTCCGCGCCGAACTCGACTCGCGGCGAAATAGCTGCAATTGTATTTCATATAAGGCTATTTATTATTCATTTGGTGTGTATTTTTGGAGAATGCTTGGAAAATGATGTACAAAAAGCAAGTCCACTTCTTTTTTATGAACTCCTCCCTCATGAAAATATTTTTCTTAAACGACGCCAATTTGCTGTCAATAATTTTGTTTTAATATTTTATTATTTTAAGCCACACAGAGTGCCAGTTTCGTTTTCGCCGAATTTCGTCTTTCTAATATTTCATCTGTAGATTTTGATTTGTTGAATTTACTCTCATTTTCGGCTTCCACCTTCTTCCACCTTTCAAAATTTCCTTATGACACACTCTCACAAATCAGTCCGTTTCGTCATGCGAAAGTCGAAACCTGCCCAGGCGAAAGCGAAACTCGAAAAGAAAAATGAGACTTGAGAAAGAGGAAAGCGAAACTAGAAAAGACTAAAAGCGACGCTTGAAAAGGCGAAACTAGCAAACTCCTGATCTCGATCACTTTCCCTCTAAGGAAAAGAGAGAATCTTCTAAATCTCCCTTTACTCGAGGTAAATTCAATTGTTTTGCTGAAATAATATTTTTTAAGGAACAATTAATTTGTTTGTGTTTTCCTTTTCACTAGGAATTTTTCAATTAAAATAAATACATATCCTTCCATTTCTTCCCTTTTCAAAAACAAAAACTTTAAACAATTGTTTTAATCAAACCCCAATTTTTGTTTGGTACTCAAGTACTTGTGTAAAAAACAAAAAAAAATCTTTTTTTTTCTTGATAAATGGGGACATATCAATTTGTTTTATCTGATTGAGGTGGGATTTTATCCGATAAATCTTTGAGGGAATGTTGTTCTTTTTTTCTAATGCTCTTAAAAGTCCGCAAGTTTTGTCCGCAACTTTTAGCGGTATATGCAACTTCTAGCCAAAATCAATTCGGGGTTGGAGAATCGAAAAAACCAACCCCAAAAAATCAACTCGACGAACCCCAATCCCAAGACCCCAACCCCAAGACATCAACCCCAATTCGGACCTCATTTACAATTGCGGACAAAACTTGCGGATTTTTTAGCAGATAAAAGAAAGGAACCTATAAATCTTCAAGTACAAACCCTTTATTTTTTTATATTTGCCAGTTGGAGATTTTTTTGTTGGACCAACTTAATTCTCAAAACCACCTTTCCCGAAGATATCTTGTCCGATCAGATTTCATTTACACTAGGCTTTCTTTTTCTTATTTTTATTGCCTGTAATTGAATGTCTTTCTTCTCTTTTTTATTTTTTCGATTAATCTTATAGTTAAACAAAATTGTTTTCTTAAGCATTTTTTATTTTTTACCAGTCGAACATCTTTATAAGACACACAATATAAGACGCCTCAATTTAAGATACGTTTTCTAACTCTGATTGCCCACTGGTTAGGAGGAGCTGTGAGAGTGCCTAAAGGAAAGCTGTCTAAAAGTAATCTCCGATTTAAAATACACCTATCAGTATAAAATAAACCTCATTATAAGCTACCCTCAAAATAAGATACCAGTGCTGTGCAAACTTTTCGCCTGGCAAATTTAAAATTTTTAAAAACGCCAAAAGACAGAACGCCAAAAAAGGCAACTCAATTTAGGGCAATTTTTTTTGAATTCGATTGTCCATACGTTAGGAGGAGAGGTCTAAGAAAAACCTCCAATTTAAATACACCTCATTATAAGAGACAATTTCTTTACCAAAAAGGAAGCAAGCAAGGTTTTTTAGGTTGACATTGATATATTAAAAATAAATAAATTTTGGTTAAAGTACAAGCTAATTTTCCCCCTTCCTGTTTTTTTTCTTAGTAACATGCAAGGCATTTATATTTTTCAAAGAAAAAGTTTAAGGAAAAAACACGCAAACATCCGGTTAACTTTCTTTGTATAATTAAAAATCAAATAATTTGAGTCATAGGAACTTTCCAATAAAAAGGACGGAGAAGTATGAAAGGGGAAGTAGAGGAACTGGGGAGGACTCAGAACCGGGAGCGTCCATCATTCCCTCATATGTCGCTCATATCCAAAAAGGCTCAGAAGCTGACTTTACAACCACGAATCAAGGCATGGGTTCCTCACGTTCTTCCAATATCGGACTTCACTATAAGATACACCCAATAATAAATACAACTATTTAAGAGACGTTTTTTTAAAAGTTGGTTGGATATTAGGTTGGGGATTTTCTAACCAATACCTTGCTATCTAAGGTCCTCATTAGTGAGTCCAAAAGTACGTTTTTAGCCCCCAATCAAAACCCTATTTAAAATACGCTTATTATATGATACGGGTTTTCGTCCTCTAATGTATACCTCTCTATTTAAGGTATCTCATTATAAGGTCATTTTTCGACCTCAAGGTGTATCTTTTAATGAGTCCAAAAGTTTTATTATCTGTAAAACTCAAAAGTGTTTAACCTAACTTTCTTTTAAAAAATCTTAGCTAGATAATTGGCCCACTGTTTTGGCAAATTTCCCCTTTTTTGCCTGCGGCGACGTCCCGTGAAAATCGACATTTAATATTCTCATCAATATCTTCCTTCTTAACGTAAAATAGCCAAATAAAAACGGCAAAAGGGCAAAAAAGACAATTTAGAAAAAATAAAGAGAATTTGAAAAAGTATAGGGGGAAAAGTAGCGCAAAAGTTTTTTACTTCCTCATTTCTCCTTGAAGAAGTAATAAATGTTTTCTGTACTTTTATTGCATTTTTTCTTAAGATATGTTTGTTTATTTCTAATAACCTTAAAAAGATATACCCTAAGGGGCTGGAAAATTGTAGCTAATTAGGGCTTACCTCAATTTACCCCAACTCTATATCTAATAATGAGGTCTTCCTTAATTGATAAGAAGCTGAGACTCGTACATTATAATGTATGTTAAATTGAAGGTTTTCTCTCTCAGATATTGAAGGTTTCTCTTTCTCTCCCATTAGCCGACCAAATCTAAAACCTATTTTGAATTGAGATTATTTATGTACATACATATAATATTGGGTTTATCTTGTAATGAGTAAGGTTGTCGGCTAGTTGAAAATCTTCGGATATCCGAATCCGATATCCGACCCGAAAAGTTCCAGATATCCGGTCTTTTTCGGATCCGGATAGCCGGATCCAACAACCTTAATCCACATATATCTTGTTTATCATATTATTTCCTTCTTTCTTTTTCAATTTATCGCTACCTAAATTTCTACATTTCAAATAAAAAAAAATAATTTTAATATTTACATAATATTCCCCAAGGTATTAAAAATATTTTCTTTCACAACTTGCTTATAAATTGAACAAGTTAACCAAATTTTGATAATATTTTGTACCCCCAAATTCACAAAATCTTGTGACTATATTTTTTAAACGAGTTACATTTTGGTTGATTTCCCAAACGTATTTTACATTTTTCTATTAAAATTATTTTTAAAAATATAGTACAACAATATTTGTTTATATTTTTAAACTGTTTTGACGTCTGTTTTTGGCGTTTTGTGTTTGGCGTGATTTAAAAATTTGAAAAATTGGCGTTTGGCGCGCCACGCGAAAATTTTGGCGCACAGCTCTGGATTGAACCCTCAAGCTCTAACTTCTAATACAATCAGAGCACACTTACCCTCAGTAAATTTAAGATAACATTTCTATTTGACTATTGGATAGGGAGAGGCTGTCTAAACGCTTGGAGGAGACTGTCTAAGTCCGACTGAAACATCTTAAAAAAGTGTAAAAAGGGGGTTTATTACGTTGTTTTCTTTGTCATCCAGTTCATTATTTATTCATAAACTAAAGCATAATATGCACTTTCCACACTCAATCCATGCTGTCAGGAAGAATTTTTTTCACACGCGCAATAATACTTTTAAAAATATTAAAAATGTCGATTTTTCTTGAAAAACACATGATTTCAACGAAAAATTTTCCTTAAAATTTTTCGTTCTTCGGCATATTATCAAATCTTTCTAACACAACGCCCCTCTATGATCTTCTCTCTCTATCACCTTCCCTTATACTAGACCATCGAGAAATCCCTTAGGTTGGTCGCAGTCAGATTAGTTCACCTTAGTTTGATTTAGCTGAATTCTACCTCTAAAATGTCAGCTAAGCTCGGTTCCGAGGAGTGACATGTTAGAGAGATTCAACCGTATTTAAAAAATATTTGTATTAAAATTTTATTTTTCCGGCAAATGCTTCAATGATTCAAAGTGAGGACAACAGAATAAAAAAATTATCTAAATTATATAATCACAATAATTGTTCATCACATCCTTCTTCAACAAAAATAAATACGTTGGATAAAAGAAAAATCCAATTAAATGAAGAGAAAAAATCTGAAGATGTGGAGGAATGCTCTTATCCGTGGAGGAAAAATAAAAGAATATCACTTTATAAGGTTAAAATTAAAAATGGAAATATACGGCACCTTCCTGTTATTGTAACACGGATTGTGAAATGAGTTGCTCCAAACTCCATTATTATAAAATCAAAAATCCATTCCTCGTATTAAGCTTTTTCGCCTTTTTTGGTAGACCACGATTTTGTAAAATTCGATAGCAATTCGAGTTATTGATAATGTTATATTCTGGGTCTGTCAGACCAACTCCAAGATTGAGGGTTGACTTACACTGACTGAAACAGACTGACATTTAACTAAAGCTTTTATACTAAACCGTTGAGAAACATTTTAGTAAATATTTATTTGACCATATCTATAACATACAATGAGCTAAATGGTAAATATCAAAGGCTTTTATAGTATTCGAAAGAAAAATAGTTTAGTTAGGAAATAAAAATGAATCTGCTTGGGGATATAGAGCAGGAATGTTCCTAAACGTAAACCACTATAATTTTAATTAAAGGATTTGAGATGGAAGCGAATTCAAAGAAATTTTGCTAGAAAATCTTCAAAACGTTTATATTGCCCTCATACTCGTCTAAAAATTTTTCTTTTAATTTTGTTAAGTGCCATCAATGCTTTTTGCCTTAGGCATTTTGGTTTGTCCTTTAAAATGTTTTTAAAAAATAATTCTAAAAAGGAGCCAATGCTACCTTAATGAGTAATGAACATTCATCACAAAACGGTAACGACGAGCTATCTATTCAGTGGGAAGAGAATTCGCAGTATAACAATGAACATCCTCCAAAAAATGGCATAAATACTAGCTACATTTCACAGGTAAAAGAATGAGAGTATGTTGGAATACTGCTAAATACCTAAAGGATACCTGAGGATATATCTGATACCTGAGGACCCAACCAGAGCTATTTGAGAACAAAATAAATCCTTAAAAATCGTAAATCGAAAAAAGTTTTGAATACATAAACCAGTCTGAAATGCATAAACCTGTCAATTCTAAACTCAAGGAACCGGATTTTACGACCTCTTCCGGAAAATCTTTAGGTCCATTCGAAGCCAACCTCACAAATTTTATTTTCAGATCCTTGATAGATTAACAGACGGAACCATTTACGACAAGAGACTAAGACCTCGTTACAGTGAAGGAGCGGTCGATGTTGGTATCTCCATACACATAACATCAATCAGTGCAGTCTCGGAAGTCGATATGGACTTTACTTTGGATTTTTATTTGAGACAGACTTGGTAATTATTTAACAGTTCTCTGAGTAATCTTGCTAAATAGGTATGATAATAGACTAGCTTTTGCACAAATTGATCCAGAATTGGCTAGAAGAATAAAGAAGTTGACTGTGGGTGTTGAATATTTAGATAGATTATGGAAGCCTGATACTTTTGTAAGCTAAAAAATATGACAGTATTGTAGATAGGGTGGCTTAATATTATTAAAATACTGTCAGACCTCATTTAAGAACAGATAAACTAGGGAAATTTTTTTGGAAATTTCAGAAGGCCTCAAGGTCTCTCTCTTTTTTTTCAACGTCTCTCTCAATCTCTCTCTTAGACAAAAAAATGGGAAAATAACAAAACAGATCCAGTCCCAATCCGGTGTTACAAGATTGCCCGGATTCAGGATTTGTAGCTGGATACAGACCGGATCCGTCCGGATTTTTCTACATCAATCCGGTCCGGAAACAATCGAGATTATAAAGACCCCGGATTTGAGATTTGGACTCCGGAAAATCCGACGGGGTTTTCCTAGTATTGTTGTAGCTTTTAGTGTGGTTCGACTGCAAAAATGTCGTCCTATCTACAGTAGTGCGGAATGAATTCAAATTTAAATTACCTAAGCCAATTTAAGTTTCCAAATGAGAAAACATCAATGTTCCACGTTGCTACAACTCCAAACACATTCTTGAGAATAGAACCTGATGGAAGAATTTACACATCCCAGAGAATGACAGTAAAAGCAATGTGTCCAATGGACTTGGCATTGTTCCCAATGGATTCACAAACATGTAAACTTGGCTTGGAAAGCTATGGTTATGATGTTGATGATATTGGTAGATTACTACAGTTTTACTCTAGATAAATAACTTTATAGTCCGAAAGGAACATGATACTTTCAGCCTTCCTAGTCCGAAGGGAACATGTTCTCTTTAGCCTTCCTAGTCCGAAGGGTACATGTTCTTTTTAGCCTTGCTAGTCCGAAGGGAACATGTTCCTTTTAGCTAACTCCCTAGCCAGAAGAAAATATGTGCCTTCCAGACAACTACCTAGTCCAAAGGGAACATGTTTTTCTCAGCTTACTTCCAGTCCGAAGGGAACATGTTCCTTTTAGCTGACTCCCTAGCCAGAAGAAAATATGTGCCTTCCAGACAACTACCTAGTCCAAAGGGAACATGTTTTTCTCAGCTTACTTCCAGTCCGAAGGGAACACGTTCTTTTCAGCTTACTTTCTAGGCCGAATGGACATGTTCTTTTCAGCTTACCTTCTAGTCCGAAGGGAACACGTTCTTTTCAGCTTACGCTCTAGTCCGAAGGGAACACGTTCTTTTCAGCCAACTACCTAGTCCGAAGGGAACACGTTCTTTTCAGCCAACTACCTAGTCCGAAGGGAACATGTTCTTTTCAGCTTACTCTAGTCCGAAGGGAACACGTTCTTTTCAGCTTACTCTAGTCCGAAGGGAACACGTTCTTTCAGATAAAATTTTATTCCGAACGGACCATGTTCTCTTCAGCCTACTTACTAGGCTTTCATCTTGTTGCCAAAATCTACTCAAAATTCTTATAAAAATTATTTTTAATTCAAAGATTATTATTGGGGCAACCGACGTTCCGATGGAAAGAAGTCAGAAGATGCTGTAAATTTAAATTTAAAAAATTCATCTAATATTTGCCCCTTAAAAAGGTTGATTTTGACGCCTTTTTCCTCCCCCAATTTCACGCAAAAGGTTATCGGGTAACTGGAACACACGTTACAACAGCTTCTGGAGAATATGCTCGTCTTTATATTGAAGTTGTTTTGTCGAGAAATTTGGGCTTCTATTTAATGAATATTATTATACCTGTAAATCTCTTTGATTTTTTAAACTAAAATCTTATTAAAGTCAATGCTTATCGTATCTATATCTTGGGTATCTTTCTGGTTGAGCAGAGAAGCTTCTCCTGCACGTGTTGGTTTGGGTGTAACAACGGTAATATTCTATACATCATACAGTCGGAGCCCTCTATAAGATAGGCTCCTTATAAGACATAGACGGAGCTCTCTATAAGATACAGCATGACCTCTATAAAATACATCAGTTTTCACGGAATACCATTGAGGACACTTCACAATACGCACATTTAACCATACGGACAATTCACCGTTGGGGCTGTGCGGAAAAAGGTTCGCTGGGACGCCAAATAATGCCATTCTCCAAGCTTTTCATTAAAAGATACGTAGTAAGGCAGGGGAGTTGTCTAAGCGATATCCTCTATTTAAGATACATCTCATTATAAGGCACGAGTTTGCCCTAGTTCTTAAGGGTGTATAATAAAATGAGTTTTGACCGTATTACCGTCTTAACATATTAAAGGTACTTACAATGACGACTCTAATCACAACAACAAATAATTCAATGCCCAAAGTTAGCTATATTAAAGGATTGGATGTTTTCCTAAACTTTTGTTTCGTTATGGTTTTTGTAAGCTTTTTATTTAAGCCTGTAGTTAATCTCATAATCTAAGGCCTCATTAGTCGAATATGCCATTGTTAGTTATTGGAATAAACGACAGTGTAGGAGAAGGTAAAAAATATTTTTTTTAAGTGTGTCAGTAGGACGGTTCACTATCAAACAGTTTACTGAATGCCATGTGGGATAATCCACTATAAGGACAATTAATCTTATGGA